TCCCGTTCATCCGTGTCCCCGCGAGTTTTGTCAAATGCTGATTTTATGTGCAGAACTGCAGAGATAGATTTTTAAACAAGGTTTTGTTTGTCTGAATATAAAAAATTCTAAGCAACAACATCTAATTAAATTTTTTAAGAATTATTGTGTAGACTGAAAAAATAATAATAATGGATTGAAATCTTAGACGGATTTTTGGTTTTTTGGCATACTCAGGTTTTGTGAAGCTTAATTTTAGCCGATTTAAACTGGAAATTAGAATTAAATTTATATTTCTGCATTATTAACAAGTATTCTTACATAATTATGTATTTTTGAATGATAAGATACACTGAAAATATCAGATTGAGACCATTTTTTCCTCGAGACTTCCCGTAATTTTCCAGCAAAAATGGTAAAGTAACAAAGCAATTATACAATATTTATCATAATTTAACTACATAAAATTATCCACTTGTTAAACGAACTCAGTGGTGAGAAATATTGAATTAAGTCACTACTTTTACTCTCTCACAGACTAATAAGGCTTATAAGAATGAAAAAAAACTGATGAGCCTCTTTAATTTCACTACTTTTATTATTTGTGCTGAGTCGGAATATTTTTCTTTGAAATATTTAGAAAAAGCAAATCTTTACACATAGAATATCCTCGTAATGCATTTCCTCTGCTGTCGAATGCAGAACGGGAACAACTTTTACTGCCGCACATATTCTGATATGGGTGTGTTGTGTGGTGCGGTGCAGTGGCTGTTTTCAATTTAGCCGTCCGATGTTATGACGCGCGGCACCGCCGGCCAATTCCCCGAAGGGAGAATTTATTTATTTTGTGACCAATATCGACTACTGCCTCGCCCACCGTGTATTAGCGTCGAGTGGGTGGGCGGCGGCGGCGGGTTGCATATCTGCTCCGTATGTGTGGTTGGGTCGCTCTCTGTAGTGGCTCGGAAAAAGCAAATATTGACCGGAGTGGTATTGGCAGAAAAAGAAATGAGTGCCGCTCGCTGATGCTACATAATCGCTTCTTACTTCTACTTCTTCCTCTTCTTTTTTTTTTGTATATTTATATTTGCTCCTCCAACTCTTATTCTGAAAAATGAAACTAAGTTTGTTTGCAGCCCCCGTCTCGCTTTTTTTATTTTCTTTCCTCTTCCGTCGTCTTCGGTCCGAGGGGGAATGAATCTGACGGGACGTTGTTAGAGTAATTTATTTACATTTGATGGTCACCGAGTCCGTTGCAGAGAGAAAGATTTATTGTGCCTTTCGGAGGCCATTTCGACTAAACAGGGGGTGGACGCGCCGCCGGAACGCGGAGGTCTGCAAATTATTGCCTTTTTGGCGAGAGAGCGTGAAAGATCTGCTCCGGGCAAGGCATTCATCATTTTGTAATTTGTTGTCACAGCGCTAAAAACTTTTCCCGAACGAGGTGTGAATAGAATTCGCTTGTTAATGGAAAGGGCAAGTTTCCAATTTTTCAAATCTATAATTTTTTTAAAACTGCCTAAATATTTGATTGAAGTTAGTTATTGAAATAATAAATAAATTTAACTGCTTAATTAATGTTATATGCATATGAATCAGAAAAATTGAAAGCTCCATAAGAGCACATTTCCTCTTTTGATATATATGGAAAATGGTTAAATTATGTTAAAATTATTCTTGTAAAGATTGTGCAAATTCAAGTTATGTATATAAGTTGCCCTATTACCAATTTGGGGAAGATGATTTGGAAAGGACGATGTCCCAAGGGATATTTAATTGAATTTGAGGTTGTGGAAATTTTGATGATTTTTTTTGAAAAGTTTTCTGCGTATATCAGATTAAAAAAATTCGCGAGTATACAAAATTTAAACACCCACATGATGATGGACAAGCTAATTTTCTTAGTAACCTTTTGCCTTTATTACAATTGATTAAAGTTTTCAATTTTTTTTTCAATTTAATTATTAAGAAGTAATAACTATTACTATTCTTCTTCAATACTTCAGCCCTGCTCAATGCTGATTTAAATATATTAGCAATTATAACAAAATTTTATAATCTATAGATACGCAATACTTGCATCAAAAGAGCTCTTTGGTGATAATAATTATATTTAATTGTTTATTATTACAAGCTTCAACTCCATGCTTCATATACAATTTTTAAAATTTAAAACCATTAGTTAAATATAAACTACATTTAATAGTTGTGTATAATATTCCCAAACATTTTACATTGCATTTGATTTTATTAAAATAAAATGATTACAAATTCTAGTATATATTTGAAAGTAGCAAAAATTTAAATTTAAATTATTTTATAAATAAATTTAACATATATATATTTTGAAATGCAATAAATGCAACTTTTGTATAGAGAAGGTTGGCAAATTTAAAATTATTTACTCTTTTTTTTATTTCATATAATCCAATAATATTTCCACATACGCATGGGAAATATTATGACTTATTACCATTTTTTCAGTGTTCATGTTAGTTTTTGGTGCAATTTTTTCATCACACATATAAAATGATTTGAAAACGCTAATTCCAAGCGCTTATTGTAAGTCATTAAACGTGCATAGTGTTTAGAACACGCGGGGCAAGAAATGAAAACGAGAGATGCTGCAGAGCCGATTAGAACGAATTTACACCCAGCTCTCTTATTCATAGCGGAAGGGTTGTTTTTAAGGCCGCCGCGTGAGGATGCGTGTCTGGCCATAAATAATGGTTTTATCTCGCAGCCGGCCGCGCGCGCGGCGAAAGAAAGGGTTGAAGAGGCACGCGCGCTTGTGGTCAAGTGAAGAATGACCAGGCGCAGCGTAATAAGCAAACAGAGGCTCTTCTTAACGCGTTTAATGGAGGGTCGATATTTATTGCGTGTCCCCTCTTCTTCTTCTTCGCTCTCACTTAAATGCCCCCGATTATATAATACATTTTATATGCAGAGAAGAAAAAGGGCGCACGCGCTTCCTGCTGCGCTTTCCGAGAGGGTCCAGTTTCTTATCTCTGCTGCCTCAGAGCGTTGCCTTTTTGAATTACAATTCATGCATGTGCTGGGGGTGCAGAAATTCGAAATTTGTTTTCGGTCCGCGATTAACTTTTGATGGCCGCCGATCACGCGATCACTCGTTTAAATCTCGAATAAATGAATCGCCCCTGGGAATGAGATGCACCACGTGCGCTGCGAAGTCATTACGCGATTTTCCACGGATCATTAATTTTATGCCCCGCTGAAGTCAAATGTGTTGACTTTCAAAATTGCTTGTATGCAGAAAAGTCACGTCACGTCACTCAAATTCAAATTCTATTTTATAAAAAAAGGAAACTAAAGATATAAGAAATTTTCATTTCGATTGATAGCCTGGGACAAGATAATTGTTATTATCATCTTTATGCTAAAATAATTACAATATTTTATTAAAAAGTACTTTTTTAAGTCAGCAAATTCATGTATTATTCATTCTCAACTATAATTATCAGATCTGATCAGAATTACAAGAGGAAATGTTTAAATATTAAACATTCCTTAAATCTGATTTAAATAAAATTTTGAATCTAAAAACTAATTTACAACCTTCAGAGTCTATGCATATAAGTTATACGACAGGTAATTAAATATTATACATTAGAAGGTTGCATTTCTTTGAGATTTTTATAATTAACCTATAAACCAATTATTTACTCAAAAGTCTCGTTACAAAGAAAAGATCTTATGTGTGTTTCCTCACCTCTGCTCTCGTATTCATTTGAACGTGCTCAGCGCGATGTTATCTCTTTCTACAATGTTATTGCCGCGGCAAAGAATTCAAGTGCGAGCGAGAGAGAGACGAGCGTAGGGATGTTATCAGAGTTGAATGTGTGACACAACTGCCTTATTCACCCCGCAGGAGAGCACTATAGCGCGCGGCTATTATCATTATTAACCGGCATCATTTTTTGCTGCTCTCGCCCCACATCTATTTTTTCTCAATGCACACACCTTTCGTGATGCACAACACAGAAAAAAAAATCGTGCCACACAAACAGTTCTCTCGGGTGTATATACGACCGCACATTCTGTTTGTTTAGATTAAAAAGATTACAAAATATCCAGAGATTTTCCTAGTAATTTTAATAACAATAAGACGGCTCCAGTTTTGAAATGGATTTCTATGATTTTTTTTAATTGCTGGATTTTTAAGGGTTATTATAATTAATTGAAGTTTAATTGTATAACATTGATGTTGATTAACTTCTTTAAATTATGAGTTGCAAGAAGATTTTAAAAATACTTTTGTGTTCGTTTTTTTGCCAATTCTCAAGCTACTTCCCTCTTTCGTCTCTTTTCTTTTGTTCGGTGGACGAGTTTTCTTTTTCTTTAAATCGTCGACAAGCTGATTGCCAGGAGAAACAAAAAAGCGGCTCCCATTTTGTCCACCCTATCAACCACCCCCCTTGCGATGTAGTAGCCATTAAAGAGGGTGCATGATTAAACAGCGCGCGTCCACGAGAGCGGGCAGAGCTGACGCTTCGAAAGTTCAACTCGGCCGCTCGTAAAATAAATTTAAAATCATGGCCCACAATTTAAAGACAAAAAAATGACTTGCTTGTGTTTATATTTTTGCAAATATCTTTTCTATTTCAATTTTTTTTTTAAATTTTTTTTCATTCCAAATTTTTAATATTGACCATCATCAAGATAATTATTAATTTCGAATAATTATTTTTACTCACAAATGCCTTAATCTTTATGCTGTCTTATTTATAAAATGAAGTTCATAACTTTGGCAGGAAAGAAGTGAAGTTCCTATTTTCAAATTTTATATTCTTATTATACAATTTGAAAATACGGGACTCACTAAAAATATATAGTTTTAATTATATAAAATTATATTTAATAAGAAAAATTAGTAAAAATATTTTTTTCTGTGAACAGTTCAATACAAAATTGATCCTAAAAATTCACCTTTTATCGAAGAAAAAACTTTTTTTCAATTATAGTTTATTATTATTAAATACAAAATTCAATTCTTTTTACAGGTGTGATGCTTCTGATCCAAGAAAACCCTGTCAGCAATGCGAAGCACTTCAGAAAGGTAAGAGTTAAGAAATGTAGCCGGGAATTTATTCGCTGGCAGCTCCCCTTGTCAGTCAGTGGGAGCAAAGCGGCCGTAAAGTGTCCAAAATAGCAGGCAGAAGGCGTTGATTCCGATTGGATTATGCAGATGTGTCGAATTCCGCGTGCGAGATATATATTCCCTGTCTGCTAAATAATGCGCCCTGGGGCTGTCCGCAAGTCAATATTCCGACGCGCTGCGGAGCCGCCCCGGCCGACACACGGGATCCTCAGGTGAAGTCAACTTGAAATGCAATTTGCGATCGTTACCAAGAATAAAAAGTGGAAAAGCCACAGCCGCAGGGCTTCGGGGAGGAGGGCAGGGCGCTGACCGAGCGAGCAAGCGAGCGAGCGCACTTCGCAAGACTGGAACTTGGAAAACGAGGGGCATTCACTATAGCGAAACTTCTGCAATTATTTTCATACACAAATAACGATGAAAGAAATATTCAAATTAAAAAGGCAGAACCGAAAATCGTGAAAAATAAACATAAAAATATTCTTTTGACAAAACAAGGAGAGTTAAAAATAATTAAATTTATGAAATTATCAATATTATGCATATTGGAGAAATAATTATCTCAGATTTGGCCCAATATCCGCAATTTTAATTGAATGGTTCGATGTAATCACAAAATAAATCAATAAAGAGATTCAAAAGTTATTATTTCTCGTATCTGAATTTTTTGGAAATTTTCTATTTTACTTGTTAATTTATGAGTTCAAAATTTTCTAACTATTGCTCGATTATTATTTTAATGACTTTTTTTAATTACATTTTATCTTTTGACCAATGATGTCATTCTGAATCAAAATATGTGGGATAAAATACAATTTTTTTTTTTTAAATTATTGTTTATTTCATGAATTTGAAACTTTCAATGAGTAAATGAGTCGTTTAAATAAAATTAGATTATTTTCAATTAAAATTTGATATTTTTGCGATTACTGCGAGGGAAGGTGCGCCCTTCCGAATGGCTCTCGGCGAGTATTGGGCCGCACACATCGGCTGCTGGGAGACACACCAATAACTCAAGTTCCTTCCTGGGCGTCCTCTGGGGCCGGGTGTGCAGGCAGGATGAGGTCCTGCACGGGAGGATGCTCCTCGGGCGATCACTCCATCACTCCCCTCTCCGCAAAATTCCTTTGAGACTCACCTGCTCTGAGCAATGACTCCTGCCGGACCCACCTATTACTCGGCGCCGGCAAACTTTTCTCCTAAACTTATTAAACTTGAATTAATTATAATTAAAAGTTTATCATCGCCCGTTATTGCATTACTTACTCACTCTCGGCTAAGCGAGTGAGAATTCTGCTCTCATCCCCCCTCCCACATTATAACATGAGTGCGGATATGGGCAAAAAATATTTTATGCTTTTTTACCTTCTTTAGATAATTTTAATTTACTTCAAGTTACTTCAAAGTGACTAAACAGACTAAGAGTAAAAAAGGGCGAGAAATTTAATTTCATTCTAAGAACGTCCTTTTGATGCGATTTTTAAATCTAAGTATTTTTAAACCAATTTATTTAATTCTCGAGTAGCCTTTCAAAAGTTCTGAATCCTATACATTTTTCAATCTTTGCTAAAATAAATATGCAGAATAAAATTATTTTCCAGAGGTAATTCCATTTGATTTTCAATCATTTATGTAGGAAAAAATAAACCATCTCGTTGTCCAACACCAAAATTTAAAGAAAACACAAAATAAATGAAAAAGCAGACTGTTTTTTGAAGAAACAGAGACAAAATAGTGGACTTCTTTTTGGAAGAAAACTATCCCATCCCTAAACATGACCAGAGTTCACATGCATGGAGGCCAACAGGGAGATATACTTTTTTTATTCCACACGTTTTCCCATTCCGGTCGCGGCGTGCACGCTTCTTTTCTCTTTTGCAGATCCGTAGCAGGTCTCGCGGGCATTATTTATCACACCTTCTGGACATCTAATTCCGAGTGTTTGTGCGTAGCCAGCGTGTGCCCAGATCGATGAATTATGCGGTATTGGGTAACACAATATGCCCACTGCGTGGATTTATGACCTGCTTCTTTTGCATTGCACATACAACGGCAGCAGCCGCCGCCCTTTGAAAAGTGAGCCCTGCTCCCGTCGCAACAGCAGCAGCCGCCGCAAAAAGAAAAAAAAATATTTGTCATGATGCTCGCCGCGGACATGAAAATAGATTATTCAATTTGTCTTTTTTTCATCTGTGCATTGAAATCGATACAATTCTATTATTCTCTCTTTTTATCAAGAGCAGATTATTCTCTTTTATTCTGACCACAGTTATTGGAGTCTTTTAAACATAAAATTATTTCTGCTATTTTTAGAATAAAATGAAAATCATTTAATCAAATATTTAAAGGTGTATTCAAATAAGTACTGCTGAATTTATAACCACTTTTTTGAAAAAAGACTTCGCGATAGAAAAGTTTAATCCGAGACTTCAATTGATATAGTTGTTTTGCCTGTAAAATCCTCCAATTTAAAGAAAAAAAGCACTCGACAATAAATTCCTGTAACATTTCCAACCGTAAAATGATTTCGCTTTTGTTAAGTTTTAATGGTTGTTTTTAAATGCTCACAAAATAAACAAAAAGCATTTGCATTTACGAAATACTTAAATTTGAAAGAGATTAAAGCTCTGAAAAATATGAAGAAAACAATTATAAAAGGTGAATAATATAGATAATTAAATTTAAAAAATAAACTCCATCAAATTTTCTCAAGACTTGAAATTCTTATCAAAATTATAAATTGAAACTGAATCTAACTAAAATGAAATTATTTTAATTTTTTGTACATATAACTTTTTTTTAATTCATTTGCTTTTGCTAAGCTGCGGTATTTTGTGCTTCATTAATGTCATTGCACATTCAGCTTTGTCCGTATTTCGCCCGAGCTTTGCACCTCTCTTTTGTGACACCCATTCATTCAACTCCTTGAATCACGCTCTCGTGTGTCTGCCGTTTGTGCCGTCGGCGATAATAATTGCGATGAGTCAAATATACACTCGAGCGGGCCGGAACGAAGCGTGACAAAACGAGGTGTCAGTCGAGAGGTCTGCATGTCTATTCAAGAGTCCTCTAATTAGCCTGCGCGCGCGTTTCGCAATTCCGCCAATTGACCAGAGCCGCGTGACCTTTTCGACCCCCGGCCCATTAGATTCGCGAATGTAATGTCGAGGATGTGCGAAAAGATGCGTCATTTGGCCTGCAGGGGCCAAACCCCATCCCTCATCGCGCGCTTAATTATGAGAGGTCCATTTCTTGTGTGATTATTCTCACTCGGAAAACGCCTCCATCCTTCAACTAAATTAGCCCTCACAGCGTCACACGCGCGCACTCTCCATTACACGACACTCTCCGCGTCCGGGAGTTATAATGACCACCATCATTTCGCCCGTCCGCAACCCTTTCGGTCCGACACGAGAGCAAAGGGACGCTCTAATTTTTATAGCCATCAGCAGTTTTCTCATATAGCAGTGATAAAAAGCAACGGGGAGCTTTTTGCCTTTTATTCATAAAGGGAGAAGCGCTTTGGAAATTAAAATGCGTGCGTTTTTTCTCAGAGGCTATTTTGAAGCCGTGTGATTATAATTTTTTGAAAAATATTGAAAAATTAATCTGTGTAGCAAACCATTGCAATTTTATTGTATTAATGAGTCAAGTACATTAATTCCTACCGAATTCTGAATTTTCTTCTAATTTGCTGCTTTTCTTTGTTTAGTAAATATTTCTTGGATCATTAGTACAAGTACAAGTGAGAACAAATTAATTGCATTGCATCTTCATGAACATCAATGCTTATTTATATGACTCATTTTAATTAATATAAATCACAACATTATAATAGCAATATCCAATGAGTACCAGAAACATGCATGAAATATCTCTTTGATTCACGTATACACACGTGAGTAATGTTGGCAAAGCATTTATTTAAATTTTATCAATCGTTTTGCATTCTATTTATTATGCTTCTACAAAAACATAAGATATTAGTAAAGAAACAAAAATTAGTAACTTATAAATTTAATAAAATTAAAAACAAATAATAATATTAATTTTAAAAGATATTATACACATGTTTGTTTATTATAAAAAATAAAAGTAAAAACCTTTACTTGTATTATGTAATGACAATTTTTTATATTTAATATTTTACATGCTGAGTGTTTAATGCGTTTTATTCTATTTTCTAAGCATCTCTCTTTCTTTCGACCGCCAGCCTCTGTAACGTCTTCCATTTCCGTACAGCATCTGCTTTCCAATTTTCCGCTTCACATTGTCCATCTCGTAAATTTTCACACGCCGCGTTTGTTTCCCGAGAGAAACAGTTTGCAGCGCTGGCTGCGGACCGAGTTTACCCCTTTTTATGGGAAAGAAAATGTGTACGCTCAGCAGCCGATGGATGATATTTTTCATCCCGAGAGCGACCCTCGCACGGATGACTAACTTGCTTTCTCATTTCCTTTTGTCCATCGCAACCCTTTTGTCGGAAAACGTACCTGCGCGCGCGACCCTCTCTCTTTTTTCCACTCATTCCTAGACAGATCATATTTTGCGTCAGTTTTTTTTTCCCGATCAGAGATGGATTCGCACCCCTCCCGATCTCAAACAGGGGCGCCCCGGAATTTAACGGTAGATTTTAATTGTTAATATTAGTGCTCTGCTAGTTTAGATTTTGATGCCCTTGACAACTGTTTGCTCAGCAGAGAGTTAGGCTTCGAGCCGGGCACGTCCGTCGAGCGGCACAGCATACCTTTTAGTTTCAAGGAGAAGAATTTTGGCCTCATAGTCTAGTCAGCACTCAAAGGGGTTGGAATTGGTGTCACAAACTTTGGCGATGATCAATTCGCACGAGGGTCAAGTTCAAATAGATCTTAAAATGTGGCCGAATTAAATTAAGATTAATTTCTTTAATTAATTTATAAATAATACATATATCAATAGTGCTCTGTAAGGATAAAATCAAT